GAGAGTGGGCGGTTGTTATGGGGAGGGTGGGGTTGGGTTAGGTTAATTAAAGGAGGAAAAGAGAGGAAAAAAATAAAAATAAAAATAAAAAATTCTGCAGATCTTACCTGGGCCCGCTCTGGCCTACCGCGGTTACGCCGCGCGCGGTGAACCATCTTCAGAGAGGATGGCCTACCGCGGTTACGCCGCGACCGCGGCGAACCATCTTCAGAGAGGATCTCTGACCGCGGTCCTACCGCGGTTACGCTGCGACCGCGGTGAGCCTGTTCCTGGATACCACTTTCGGGGTTCTTTTCATTGTTTTGCCCCTTAGGCACTATTGTTACCTCTTTTAATGCCTACCTTACCCATGTTATGCCCAGGCTCGTGATGCAAAGTCCTCTGCACTATCCTGCATATATACAATATGTTCCAGGCATTTTTTTTGTACTACACTTACAACACATTCGACGCAACGCCTGATTTAACGTCGCGGCACGGCGCAAGTAGTTGAGCCGTCACTCCTCACTCGCGTACTGGGGTTCTTTCAAATTGGTCACCACTGTATCCCCTTTTTTTCCAGTTATTCCAAGGTAATGTTTCAACCTTTGCCCATTTATTGAGAATTTGTTTGTCCCATCTTCTGACTCGATCTCAACAGCTCTACTTGCGAAAATTTGCACCACTCTAAATGGCCTTGACCATCGGGACTTTAACTTACCCGGAAACGATCTCAACCTTGAATTATACAGTAATACCTTATCACCGGGTTTGAAATCTCTATCCACAATGTGTTTGTCATGCATCTTCTTCGTTCTTTCCTTGTATAGCCTCATGCTTTCAAAGGCTTGATATCTAAATTCTTCCAGCTCATGCAACTCTGTCAGTCGATTTTGTCCAGCTGCGTCAGGATCCATGTTCAATTGCTTTAGTGCCCACCAAGCTCGATGTTCTAGCTCGACAGGCAGGTGACAGGCCTTCCCAAATACCAACTCTTATGGTGACATACCTATTGGTGTTTTGAACGCATTTCTATAGGCCCAGAGTGCGTCATCAAGCTTCTTTGCCCAATCAGTTCGTGTGGCATTCACCGTCTTGGTTAGTACACTTTTTATCTCCCTGTTGGACACTTCAACCTGCCCACTGGTTTACGGATGGTAAGGGGTGGCCACCTTGTGGCGTACATCATATTTTGCAAGTAGTTTCTCGAAGGCTCTATTGCAGAAGTGAGTGCCCTCGTCACTGATGATCTCTCTTGGTGTCCCAAACCTGGTGAATATGTTCTTTTTCAGGAATCCTACTACCACTCTTGCATCATTGGTGGGCAACGCTGCAGCCTCTACCCATTTAGACACGTAGTCCACAGCAACAAGGATGTACTTATTACCAAATGAGCTGACAAACGGACCCATAAAGTCAATCCCCCAAACATCAAACACCTCTACCTCTTGAATCGGGTTCATTGGCATCTCATGGCGACGGGAAATGTTCCCAGTCCGTTGGAATTCATTGCAGCCCTTGACCCAGAGGTGTGCATCTCTAAACACTGTTGGCCAAAAGAATCCGGCCTCTAGTACTTTCGCAGCTGTCCTGACCCCTCCAAAATGTCCTCCATATGCTGATGCGTGACAAGCCTGCAAAACACAAGATTGTTCTATCTCGGGGACACATCTCCGGATAATATTATCAACACATATTCTAAATAAATGAGGCTCATCCTAATAATACATGCGGCAATCACGAAAGAACTTTTTCTTTTGGACAGATGAGAGGTCAAATGGAACTATATCGCAGGCCAGGTAATTTGCAAATCTGCATACCATGGCGCATCTTCCAGAGTAGCTGCAAGCAGCTGCTCATCTAGAAAGGTTTCCAGAATCTCTTCGACCTCGACTGATTTTTCAGCTCCTTCAAGTCGTGATAGATGATCAGCGGCTTGATTTTCTGTGCCCTTACGGTCACGAATTTAAAGGTCAAATTCTTGCAACAGCAGCACCCAACGAATCAGGCGTGGCTTAGACTCCTTCTTCTCAATTAGGTACCTGAGAGTTGTATGGTCAGTGTATACAATTACCTTGGAACCAATCAGATATGATCGGAACTTGTCAAAAGCAAATACCACCGCTAACATCTCCTTCTCCGTTACAGTGTAGTTGAGCTGTGCACCGCTTAGCGTTCTGCTTGCATAGTAAATCGGGTGCATCAGCTTATCTTTTCGCTGCCCCAAGACTGCTCCTATGGCATAGTCGCTTGCGTCACACATGAGCTCAAAAGGTTGCTCCCAGTTGGGGTGCAACAATGATGGGTGCAGTTACCAACCTCTTCTTCAGTTCCTCAAATGCCAACCTGCAATCATTAGAAAATACAAAGGGCTGATCCTTTTCAAGGAGTTTGCATAGTGGGTTAGCAATTTTGGAAAAATCTTTTATGAAACGCCGGTAGAACCCGGCATGCTCAAGAAAGCTTCTCACCGCCTTGACTGAAGTGGGCGGTGGTAGCTTTTCAATCACGTCAACCTTAGCATGGTCGACCTCAATTCCTTTTCTGGACACTCGATGTCCCAAGACTATCCCTTCTTGTACCATAAAATGGCACTTCTCCCAGTTTAGCACTAAGTTTGTCTCCACACATCTTTGAGCACTCTACTTAAGTTGTGAAGACAGTCTTCGAATGAATCTCCCACCACGGAGAATCATCCATAAAGACTTCCATAATATCCTCCACCATATCTGTGAAGATGGCTAACATGCACCGTTGAAAAGTCGCTGGTGCATTGCAAAGCCCAAAAGGCATTCTCCGAAAGACAAAGATGCCACACGGACAGGTGAAGGATGTTTTCTCTCTATCCTCGGGGGCTATTGATATCTGATTATACCCCAAGTATCCATCTAAGAAACAAAAATGTGATCTCCCGGCCAGCCTGTCCAACATTTGGTCAATGAAAGGCAAGGGAGAGTGGTCCTTTCAGGTGGTGGTGTTCAATTTCCGTAATCCATGCAAATCCGCCACCCTGTGACTGTACGAGTTGAGATCAACTCATTGTTTTCATTTTGCACAACAGTCGTTCCCCTTTTTAGGCACACATTGGACAGGGCTGACACAATTACTATCAGAGATGGGGAAGATGACTCCCGCATCTAACCATTTGATTACCTCCTTCTTTACTACCTCTTTCATGTTTGGGTTCAGCCTTCGTTGATGTTCTCTGGAAGGTTTGTGCCCTTCTTCCAAGAGAATCTTATGCATACAGAAGGCTGGGCTGATACCCTTTATGTCTGCCATGGTCCAGCCAATGGCAGTCTTATTTTCTTGCAGTACCTGTAAGAGCCGTTCTACCTGCACATCTAGCAAACCGGATGATATAATAACAAGCAAGGTAGAATCAGGTCCCAAGAACACATACCTGAGGTGATTTGGGAGTGGCTTTAGCTCCAATTTGGGCGGTTCTTCTATTGATGGCTTTGCTGAAGGTGTAGCCCTTTTGTCTAATTCAAGGGACTCAAATTGAGGTTCCCTGTCCAGAATCCTCGTCCTTCAAGTGCCATGACCCACTCAGCCAACCCTTCACCATGCATCTCTTCTGGATTTTTCAGACATGCATCCAATGGGTCATTCATAGTCAGGGTCGCGTCGTCCTCTTGCAGAATCACATCTACTGTATCCACTAAAGAGCAATTAGCATATTCGCTGGGTCTTCTCATAGATTGCTGAACATTGAATATGACTTCTTCATCGTTCAATCTCATTTTTAGTTCCTCAGTCTCACAATCGGTCAGTGCTCTAGCAGTCGCCAAAAACGGTCTACCCAGAATGAGAGGTATCTCCTCATCTACCTGGCAGTCCAGGATAACAAAGTCTGCTGGGAACACGAACTTCCCCACTTGCACCAACACATCATCAAGAATACCAGTTGGCCTTTTCACCGTGCGATCAGCCAGCTGTAGCAGTATAGAAGTCGGTCTAGCTCTGCCGATGCCCAATTTAGTGTACACAGCCAGCGGCATCAGATTTATGCTGGCTCCCAGATCACATAAGGCCTTTGCAAAGGCGTAGCTCCCGATTGTGCACGGAATAGTGAAACTACCTGGATCAGACATCTTTAGAGCCATCGATCTTGTCACTACTGCGTTGTAGGTCTGTGTGAGGGTCATAGTGGAAAGATCCTAAAAATCAAACTTCCGTGACATTAAATCTTTCATCATCTTTGCATAACCGGGCATCTCCCTCAAAGCATCCATCAAAGGAATATTCAACTGAATCTGACGCAGCATCTCCATAAATTTCTTGTATTGAACTTCCTTCTTTTGTTTAACCAGTCTCTGAGGGAAGGGTGCAGGTATCACCCTTTGTGCATTGCTTGCTGGCTTCTCTATGTTGGAATTTTCTGGCACAAGAGGTGCCACTTGTTCTGCAGCTTGCTCATTCATCTTTTCTTTCTCCTGACTCTGCTCAACCACCACTTTAGTAAGCTCTGTTGGATCCTCCACCTCTAACGGAACATGAGCGACTGTCGTACTCTCCTCCTAGCTTGTAGATTCTTCTGTTCTCTATCTAAATCTTTCCCATTCCGGAGACTTACTGCCATCAGCTATTTTGGGTTTTGTTCCTTGGGGTTTATGTTAGTGTCTGCAGGCAAAGTTCCCTGAGGACGGTTGTTCAAAGCCATGGACAGTTGTCCCAACTGCGTTTCTGTGTTCTTTATTGCTGAATCATGCACTGCCAATTTTTCCTGCACTTTATTATTTGTCCCAATGAGTTGCTGAAGCATACCCCTGATTTCCACCATATTGTTATCTTGCTGCTGAGGAGGCGGTTGATAAGCTAATTGTTGTTGATTTTGCTGTGGATAGCCCTGTGGTTTCTGATATGGTACTGGCACTAATTGGTTTTGAGGGTGCATACCCCCAGGCTGTTGCATATTAGGCCTGTACTGCTGATTTTGCTGCGGTCTCCATTGCTGTGCTCCTTGTCTCTGACCTCCATAGTTGTTGACATAATTCATATCTTCCCTTGCCCCTTGATTTTTGCCTTCTCCGCTCCATGAACACACATAAGACTGATTATACAAGGTGTACACAGTCCTCCATTTGTTGTATCAACAATGTACACCTGTTTTGTGCCCATCTCATCAATCTTCTTTGTCAATATGCTCATCTGGGTCATGAGTGTGGCCATATTCTCTGCATGTGAATTGTTTGGGTCAAGAGGAACTGAGTGCACTATGGGTGCCAGTGTTGTAGCTCTAGTCATCCACCCTGAATTTTGTGACATATTGTCAAGAAGGATTTTGCACTCGGTGAATGTCTTACTCAATAATGCACCTCCAGCTGAAGCATCCACATTTGCTTTTAAATGGTCAGCTAGCCCCATGTAGAATCTCTGGCCGAGCATCTGGTCTCGAATGCCATGGTGAGGACACTTCACTAGCATTCCTTTAAATCTTTCCCAAGTTTCTTGCAAGGACTCAGTCGGCTGCTGCTTAAACTGCAATATTTCATCAATCTATCTTGCAGTCTTGTTTGGTGGATAGAACTTGTTCAGAAACTGCTTGACTAATTCCTCCCAGGTGGCAATGGAATTGATAGGGAGCGAATTTAACCAAGTCTGAGCTTCCCCGGTCACAGAGAATGGGAACAAGAGCAGCTTGATAGCTTCCGGGGTCACATTTGGCTGGCTTTCGATCACACAAATTGACAGAAAAATTTTTAGGTGCTGCTTAGGGTCTTCAATGTGTGATCCGGAGAACAATCCTTTATTCTACAGTAGATGCAGCATGTTGTTGGTTATCTGGAAGGTCTCCACTTGAATTGCGGGCACAACTATGGCAGTGGACAAGTTATCAGCTGTGGGCTGTGCCCAGTCATAAAGTGCAGCTTCGGGCACAATGGGTGCCACTACTCTTACGTTGGGGTTTGCCGGCAGATCCCCAACATTTCCAATGTTGTTTTCTGCGTCACCCATGTTAAATTCGAGCTGGTGTGACTAATGTGATTGTTGGAGCCTCTTGTTAGCACGGTTCAATGCCCTGAATGTTTTCTCGGGGTCTGAAAGTCCTTCTAGCAGTTCTCCAGTCCTCGACGAACTTCTAGGCATACACCTGATTTTCACAAGAGTTCAAATGTTAGAATTTCAATGAACAGATTGGGTATAGAGAAAACTGACTACACTAAGAATTTTTGTACTTCTTTCAATTGTAATTGATAACATCGTTAATCTCCTCGGCAATGACGCCAAAATTTGATAACGCCAAACTATGCCTTATAAAAAGACACACACGGACGTTGCAAATATAGTCTGGGTATTTCTGCACAGAGTCGAACCACAGAGAATTAACCTATCAATTACTCTTGTCAGATTTACTAGATTCACACAGTCAATTTTCCCAAACTTTGTACTTCACAATTGATGATATATCTAACAACTAAACTGAAAGTAAATAAAGCTGGAAGTTAACTAAGCTTGCTTGTATATAATTGGAATAAGATCTAAGGTAATGGTTTCCCCCGTTGTTGATTTCCTTGGTTGAATATGTATTATAACTCAGACTTAGTTGTCTATATCAATCATGAACGCTCTAGCTATCATTAATCTTTCTCAAGTAATTATGATAATTTACTAGACGCACTTTCTCAAGTTATGTTAGCTAGATTCACAAAACAGTTCACTTAGATTGCATCCGAGGTATCGTTATCTCTAATCCTACCTCTAAACCCTCGGTTATGATTCTCGTCTATACTCCGGGAGTGATGTTGTTCATACAATCACCAAAATATGCACTCTCTCTCAAGCAGATACATACTAAATAGGGACGGATAATTGAGGGCCCTTTCAACTAACCACAATCAAAACATAGATGAACAAATAGAGATTAACAACCAATTCCAAATATATTAGTATAACAACCAAGTCATCCCCAACAGGTTTCACCAAAACCTTAGGTTAAAGTATCTAGCTACTCATGACAATGGAAGATAAAACCAATAGATTATTCATAATGGAAGAATTGCAATAAAAATATAAGAGAATAGAAAACTATGATGTTTTGGGTGATCTCTCACACTTTTTCTTCTTCCAAAAGTAATCTCCAAAAACTAAGCCTCTCTATTGTGGGCGATTTTCTACATCTTATAAGGGTTTTACACCAAGTTTGCCCGAATTGACACTTTGGTCCCTGAACTTTCCGCGTCCTACCGCGGTCCTAATGCGATTACGCCAGGACCGCAGCCAGAATGGCCTTCAGAATCTGCAGCAGTGTTCTGCCGCGGTCCTACCGCGGTTACGCCCGGACAGCGGCAGACCAGCTTCAGTTCTGGCTTTGTCCCTTCGCTTGGTGCACTTTGTGGATATTGTATGATTGGCCTCCTTTTCTCCGTAATTGATCCCAAAAGTACTCCACAAACTTCTTTTATTGGATATAGCCTGCAAAGCATGAAAAGCACTAATCAGAGCATTTGGATATCACTTTTTACCCAAAAGCTATATAAAAATGTGGTTCTTTAGGGCCTAATTATAGTCTAATTTACCTATTATCAGTAATCAGGCAGGATATGGCGAGGCTCCAGATTTCCGAGGACATGGCACTTGATAGGAACATGTGGAAGGCGAGTATTAGGGTTGAAGGCTAGGAGGTAGTTGAGTCTTGCCTTACGTCATTACATTGAGAGACTAGTTTGGTAGGGATATTATTTCGTTTTTGCTTTGTATCTTTCTTCTGGCTTTCATGTTGTTCCTATTTTTCCTATGATTTCTATGGTGTTACTGATATTGTCTCCTTTTGTCTTTTTATCTTGAGTCGAGGGTCTTTCGGAAACAGCCTCTCTACTCCCTCGGGGTAGGGGTAAGGTCTGTGTACACATTACCCTCCCCAGACCCCACTAGTGGAATTTCACTGGGTCGTTGTTGTTGTTGTTGTTGTCTATGATCATGCTCCTGGGTGGTGGAACGAATCTGACTGGCCCAATAAAATAATGTAGTATTCTGCACTTCTTGGCCTTTAGATGAGATGTGTAATCCCGACTTTCTGGCAAGAAGAATTTCATAATGTAGGCATCTTGTTCCTTATCCTTTGACTCCTCAAGTGGCTCGGACGACTCTATTTCCATATCACCATCCAAACACAACGTGGAAAAATGCTTAGAGTGTGGACCAATGCGCTCAACTACATAAATATTGGGATTGTCAACATCCTCAACACTAATGACACTAAAGTCAACTAAATACGTATCATCAATGTCCTTGGTTGACTCTAGTATCTCTTTTACAACATCGACATCCTCAAAATCTAGTTCGATTGATTGTTGGTGTTCTACTCTGGCCTTCTCCCCTAGCACCTCAATTTTTGTATCTAATTCACGCTCTTCTTGGATATTATTCACAATATTGGCTTGTTGAGCATTACAATCTTCAACCAGTTGACTCACTTGAACTTTCAAGTTGTGAATAGTTTCCTCTTGCCTTTCTATCTGCAGCTGTATTTTACTATTTTGTTCCACAAGGCACTTTAACATATCCTTGATCTCTTTCAGGTCATCATCCCTGGGTTTTTTGTTCCTTGTAACTTCACAAGAAAAAGAAGAACCATCAAAGTAAGGGGTTGGGGGAAGATAATAATATAAGCACAACCATGAAAGTGACCACCACACATATCACACCTATTCCACACATAAGATTGAGTTGGTGCACATAACTCGCTCTTGGGAATATTTTGATAGTTTTGCCATGGGTGGTTTCCTCCACAATAAGCATTAGGAAGATCAATAGTAGAATTACCAACATCAAAACTCTCATAATTCCAAGATGCCATGTTTCTCAAATCAACAAATTAAAAAAATCAAATTAATAAAAAAAATTAAATAAAAGTTCAAACTTGCAACCTAGCAATATGTACACCTACAGCTACACCGTTAGCTTTCCGGCAGCGGCGCCAAAATTTGATCACGCCCAACTATGCCTTATAAAAAGGACTAAGCGGTCGTTGCAAATATAATCCGTTTTTACAAGTCCGGGGTCGAATCTCACAGAGAACTAAGGCTTAGCTACAGTTGTTGACTAGCACTAAAAAGATAAGCTCGAACAATTCCTAATTTATAAATATTAAGATTCTTATATC